GCCGGGAACTAGGGTGAATGAATTTTCCGGAAAATCGAGGAAAAACGACTCTTTTTCCAAGCCATTGTTGGACCCCCCACGCGAAAAAACTCAGGTTGTTTCTCATAACGTCGTTAATCCGAAATGTGGTGACAGTAAACCCACTTGTTCTCTGTATTAATACTATAAGAACTGATGACAGCATCGTAGAGTGATTTTGACATCGTCAAAGTGAAACGAGTTAACATTAACCTGCCTTCTTTGTGGTGTTCACAACATAAAGACTGTTAACTTCAGAAGCTAACTTGAACAACTGTAAATATAAACTAAATAATAATCAGAATGGTTTTAAAGCAAGAGGCGAACTTTGGCAATAATGATTTCCATGTCAAAGATCTCCTCATTATACTCATAATAAAATTGATATGGATGTGTGTAATTATTATGGAAAATATAAATAAAAGCCCAACGCGGCGCATTACCTTCTTGTGTTTAGACTATCGTGCTCTCGTAACTTATTTTCGACTGTCGTAACTCGCGCACATTTATGCATATTTATTGCCGTAATAGATTTTTAACCCAACGTTTCAAATTGAAGTACATCCCATTCGGTGTCAGCTCGTGGAGTGGATCTGGTGTAATTGCAAAAAACGATGATGGCCAGTGCTGTCAGCATTACCATTTCCAACCACAACTGAATTTCGCTGGACCTTTCATATCCTACATTCCTCTTTCATTATTTTCCGTTTTCCTCGGTAAACATTATACACTCCAGATGGGGGGTAAATTGAGAAAATCTTTTGAAGTCAACTAGTTAATGCATAAAAAACTAGTAAAACGTGTAATCGCAACCCTATAAAGTCAAGAAACCCTGTCCAAAAATGCACAGAATTTTGTAAAAACAGTTTACCCCGGAGCATTCTAATTTACAAATATTTCTAAAAAGGAATAATGTTCTTATCATATCTAAATTTCATACTTTGATTTTTTTAAATTACAAGATTAATGGCTATCGGCTAATATTCACAATTGCGAACTTTGAAATTTCCGCTTAACCACATATCTGTCTGTAAAATGCAAGTGACTTAATCTTACCGCAAAGATTACAACTACATCGTTATATTTTTTACTCAATCCATTTTGAGGAGGTTCAAGAGAACATCTCAACCAAAGATTTTTTAAAGTTGCAAGATTAATGACTATCGGCTAATATTCACAATTGCGAACTTTGACATTTCCGCTTAACCGCATCTCTGCCTGTAAAATGCAAGTGACTTAATTATACCGCAAAGATTACAATTACAGCATTACATATTTTACTCAATCGATTTTGAGGAGGGTCAAGAGAACTTCTCAACCAAAGATTTTTTAAAGTTGTAAGATTAATGGCCATCTGCTAATATTCACAATTGCGAACTTTGAAATTTCCGCTTAACCGCATATCTGTCTGTAAAATGCAAATGACTAAATCATACCGCAAAGATTACAACTACAACATTACATTTTTTGTACTCAATCGATTTTGAGGAGGGTCAAGAAAAATTCTCAACCAAAGGTTGTCACCATTGTGCCCGGTATGGCCCTCGGAAAAACCATTTATTTGTGGTATGCCCGGAGTCAATTAGCACTTGCGGGCGTCACTTGAAAAGACCGAATTATACGACTCGATTTAGCTCTATAAAAGGAGTGCTCCATGGAACTATCGTGACCGTCGAAGTGTGGCACTTCAATCGAGGGAAAATAAGTGACACCCTGCTGGACAGGTTCGTAAGCACCCAGAGAAGCGATTTAGTTTCCAAGCACTATGGCTCGGCGCAATCAACCCCGATTCTCGGCCCCTCGCCCCGAAGGAGAGGCGGCTTTTATCTTTCATTCCCGTCACCTCGAAAGGCTTGACGTCATCATAAAGAAAGTGAAGACGGCTGATTGACTCGATGCTTTTCACTGTCCCTGCGATTCCAACTACGCCCTTTCTTCGCGGATCCTTTTGCTCCTTAGCGCCGGAATCGTCCCTTTTTCCCTCCGAAGGGATCCTTGGGGGAAACCGTCCAAAAGACCGAGCCACTTCCAAATTCACGATCACTGGGGACGTCGTCCTCTTTCGTGGTCCCCGATCGTTCCCGCAACTGCAACGTGCTCAGGTGGGATTGAGAAGGGGATGATGGCGCCGGGGCTGAAGTAAAATCCCCCACCTATTTCTTCAGGAAAATTTTCAACGAAAAGTCCGACCCGGGGAGCCTCCTTGCACACAGGAAAGGTACAGCCGTACAGCATAATTTACCGTGTAAAAAAGACTCTAAAAAAAGCAACTCGGGGGAGTAAACCAAGCAGATTGTGATTTTATTGAAACCACATTCTCATACTGAAATCTTTGGGGACCTTCCTATTTAAAGTTTGTCTCCTGACATGACTTTTACATGTGCGCTTAACGCAATTCTGTAGGTAAATGTTCAGGTTCGCCGTGAGTCGCTGTTTCAACGACACTGTATAAATTTAATTTGTTGAGATCTATTTCAGGAATAATATTCATTAGACATAGTTGTTAACCGCGGCATTTTCTGTAGCCGCAGTCTCTAGAGTTATTCTGTGACCCCACAAATTGCGGACATTTCACAAACTTTATCAGAAACTCGCCACTGCATTCTGTCATCAAATAGATCTGTAAATGTATCAAATTTTAAGCGGATCTTCTTTATTAATAACCTAGGCTTAGGATTACCTCTTACCTTAACTGTTAAAAAAAACTGTAGCAACTTAGTGAAACAGGTAATCGAAATTTTATTTAAATGCGGTTTTAGAAATTTACAATTCGGCCAGAGGTCTATTTCCTGTAGAAGCTTATTAATTTTACAAGCAACAAATTTTTTAGAAAATGTCATAAAATTCAAACTTGTTTTTACCTACACCCTGCACCCTACTTTGAAACGTCGTATTAAATTTGTAATTTGAATCCAACTTTGTATACTTAGGTTCTACAAAATTTACCTGATCGATCAGGAAATGTCCAAACCTTATAAACGATATTAAAAAACTGGTCAAGTCTCTAAATTATGCACTGTAATTCGCTGCTTTACATATTTAAACTACCATGTACCTTCAAATATACAGATTACATATTTTAATATGTACAAGAAGGGGAATATTTCCCGTGAAAAATTTGATTTTGAAACATATGAAGGCCAAAGAGCGGGCAGAACGCTTTATTTGAAATGAAGTTGTATAGAATTGTTGGTCAAGATTTTGATGGTACGCTGATATTTCGTTTGAATGAAGCCTAATTTTAATTACTTTCCCCCCATCTTGTACACGTACACGTACAAAATAGCATTCGAAAACCTTCACGAAGTACCATCGAAGAAGCAAAGACCGCAAAGTAGGCTTCCGGCGAGTCGCTGAACGTTTCCAACAATTTCTCAAGGGAAGAGAAAAGAAACCGGTGACAGTAGGTCATCGCAGTCTGTGGATAACGTGGATAATAGAGAAAGATCCTAATTTTAATTACTTTCCCCCCATCTTGTACATGTACACGTACAACAAGCATTCGAAAACCTTCACGAAGTACCATCGAAGAAGCAAAGACCGCAAAGTAGGCTTCCAGCAAGTCGCTGAACGTTTCCAACAATTTCTCAAGGGAAGAGGAAAGAAACCGGTGACAGTAGGTCATCGCAGTCTGTGGATAACATAAATAATAGAGAAAGATCTTAATTTTAATTACTCTCCCCCCATCTTGTACATGTACACGTACAAAAAGCATTCGAAAACCTTCACGAAGTACCATTGAAGAAGCAAAGACCGCAAAGTAGGCTTCCAGCAAGTCGCTGAACGTTTCCAACAATTTCTCAAGGGAAGAGGAAAGAAACCGGTGACAGTAGGTCATCGCAGTCTGTGGATAACGTGGATAATAGAGGAAGATCTCTTTGAAAGGTGGAGGGGGCCTATGCAGAGTTCTGGGGAAAGAAACACAGAAACCAGAGGAGACACTCCGAAGGGTCGTCAGCTCGGAAAAGCGGCGGCCAAAATGGAGCGAGAAGGAACGGGACCAGGAAAGGTTAAATCTTTTCCCGGGGATGTAGCCGGGAAGTGGTGTTTTCGGCGAGGAAGGAGCTTTCCGGCGAGTGACACGCAGGAAGCGATGAAAATCCGCGAGAAGGAGGATTCGGTCTTGGCCTCCTTTCTTGGGATTAACTCCGGACTATTAGAGCAAGTGCCACTTAGCGGGTACTCTCAAATCTCCTGCCATGTATTATGCCCGACCGGGGCTATATTTCCTCGGCATTTTAATCTGCACTCGTGGACTCTGCCGACGTTTGGTTAGAAGGATTAAACCATTATGGGTGCCTTTTAACGTCGATTGAACCTGCCGAGTTAAACGTACCTCGCGTTAGGACTGGGTCTTTAGACGAACAAATACGAGGAAGGAGTTTCAACCTGTTGAAAAGAATATAATTTTATAATATCCTTTGAAACTGAGCTCATTCCGTTCTCAAAATGGAACCGGAAAGAACTAAAAAGGACCGACAGAGATATAACAGTTTGGTTCCGGGCCAACAAATCTATTGTTGGGAAATATCGGTTCCGGTTTCGGATCAAATGAAAATAACAGTGTCGTATTTTCTGCTCCCCGATCCCTGCTATTTAGGGCGGATAATAAATTAATTGTATATAAATTAAACCTTTTAGGGAAGATTATAAACATTTTAACCCTTTGACTCCCGAACCCGAAAATTCATAAATACTTGCGGGTAACATTGGACCAAACTTCGGACGTATTTAGTAGCCCAAGGATTAAGAAACAAATACCATTCATGCAGTGCAAGGGGAGATTATATTAAATAAAAGGTATGGAAACGAAACAAGATGGAATGTATGACCGAGTCCAGCCGAGTCAGACCACGTGTCTGTACTCAACGATTAATGTATACTGTTCAGAGATAAGTATCCCACCTATTTTATACAAATATTTTTTAACAAATATTTCTGGGGTCGAGAAAGAAAATAAGCGAATGATTTAATGACCAACTATGTTCCATGAAGTACCGGAAGGAGTTTGTGGCTTCCTGCTCGGAGACCATAATGGACCAAATCGTATGTTACCTTCCGCTGTTGATGGGACCATACAATTGGACCGATCGAACGGTCGTAAAGTCATCGGAGATGCCGTTCTGGAGGGAAGTGGATCTTCTGTCCGAAGATAAGATGGATAATGTCGACTAGGAATGCGAACCATCGATTATGCAGCAAAGACACTCTAACGAATGCTCGAGTTAGTTGGAGGTATTGGAAAGTGGATCTACGAGTAAGTGGTGGAGATGGTTCCGTCACCAATTACCTTGAAGTATTATCCGATTACGAATATCCCGCTCGCTAAATACCGCAGCAATTTCGCGTTTACGTGCATCGACTCGAAACTCCGTCGTTCCTTTGAGGAGACCCCTCGAGAGACGTGTCTGCGGAATTTAATAGGCTTCACTTCGGAACTGCGAAATTGATCCCCACGCATCCCCGAATTTTCTCTATGCACCCGTCTGTCGACCCTAAGAGGCCACGAACTCCCAATCGAGGATTCAATTAACTGCAGAATTCGGATTTGGACTGCATCTCACCTGACAAGACTTTCTCAAGTCTTGGGCTTATGTGTCGAGAAGACGTTCCGAGTAACGTGAGAACCAAATTTGGGTCGAAACGCCCGACACAAATGGCACGATGCAACGTGTGCAAAAAGATTTGGTCCACATCTTCCCCTGCATAATATAACATTTCGGAATTTTGCGGCAACGAAGAATTGAAATAAAATATTTGTTATGAATTGAAGGAGACTTTCTCAAATCTTGGGCTTATGTGTCGAGAAGACGTTCCGAGTAACGTGAGAACCAAATTTGGGTCGAAACGCCCGACACGAATGGCACGATGCAACGTGTGCAAAAAGATTTGGTCTACATCTTCCCCCGCATAATATAACATTTAGGAATTTTACGTCAAGCGAAGAATTTATATAAAATATTTGTTATGAATTGGAGGAGACTTTGTCAAGTCTCCTTATGTGTCGAGAAGACGTTCCGCATAACGTGAGAACCAAATTTGGGTCGAAACGCCCGACACGAATGGCACCATGCAACGTGTGCAAGAAGATTTGATTTACATTTTGAAAAACTAGTTCAAGTACTCGGCGTTAAACGAACGTACTTTCGCATAAATCTTGGCGTTTCAGCCGAATCCAATTGGGTGCAGGATCTTCCACTCTGAGGGATCGTTCAAGGCTCGACAGGTATTCGGTAGCGTCTCGAAATGTTTTCGAAAATCCTCTCAGACACATCCGAAAGCTCAAGCAGCTCGACACGCTGCACTTTAATGCGCTTCGCGCAGTGCATATAGTCGGAGTTTCCAGGCCAAGCTCCGCCGTAGGTGGATGCACGTACGGCGCTTTACATATGGACGCAGAAATTTCGCCCGATGCCGCACACGGAGTCGCTCTGCTCTCTGACACGTGTCTAATTAGAATTTTACTACAAAATTCATTCCGCTGCATAGTGCAACGCCGGCCGGCAATTAACCCGCCCAAATATCCGTCACCAATCTCGGCCATCTTGTCGCGAAGTGCTAAGTACCGAAATTAAATAACAATCCGCAGAAAAGAAAAACAAATCCCGACGAAATAATGCACTTTTCTCTGCATTTTGTGAGTAACATCAAAAATAATTTCTAAGAAATATGTACTTTACACTGATAGAAATGCCCATGGAAATTTACATTATCATTGGTTATTTTGGCGGCGCAATAAATCTCAGTAAAATCACATTGCCTCTGTAATTTCACGTTCAGCATCTAAGTTAAGTTAAGGAAACTATAATGTAATATTACATGTAATTAAAGTAAACATGCACTGATATGGTAAATATACAATGTTACGCGTATTTATACATTCTCTAATTTGTCATTTTTCCATTTTACGTCTCTCTGTGCAAACCTTCGGTTATGGGGTATGTAAAGATGTATGTAAATTTCCATCGATTTTTATCCTAACTTAATCAAACTCCACAAAGTGGAGTTGACCTTAGAATTAATTTTATTTAACCTGACTATGTAGATTGGTATTTGCGCCCGAACTCTGTTTTCGTATAATTTGCTGAAGAGTTATCGTGAAGAATCATTCTTCGATTCCATTATTCATTGCATGCGGAGTTATGAGGTTCTCTTGTTCTTTATCCTGTAGGTTCCACGGCCGTGATCATTCTTATGTGTCTTGCATTCTGCCTGCAATATTTCCGGTACGAGCCGGAGGAGCGATGTACCAGGAGATCGTAAAAAGGATTACACCGCAAGTGAAGTGAATGTACAGAGAGCTTGCAACATTACAATGAGGAACGTGTAAAACGATCGGACGCCGGTAACAATTATGAATTCTTAGACGCCGAAGAAAAGAGAGGTAAAGCATTTCTTTGGGGCGAAAAGAAGTGTTCAAAATATGCAGTTAATAATACCCTTGAACAATAATTCCAGAAATTTACTGGCAACTTATATCGAAAATGATACACGAGTACTAGAATTTAAATACCATCCTTTGCAGGAAAAATGAACATATAAACAATACAGTCTCATGGGATTCAAATCTTCCCTAGGATTAATATTACTTCATTTAACTAAATTTGACTGTCCGTCCTTGCAGGCTAATTAATCAGGGATGAAATTGAATAAACTTTCTGCGTTACCAGTTTCCAGTAATACTCTATGAGGGTGGTTATCACCAACCCTAATCAGGGAAGGATTTGCAAACGATGAGCAACCATCCTTTCCTACTCAACTTTCATAAGTCTAAATTAACGCGTACCCCGAGTGTTCCTTGTAGCATAAAATCGAATGGGTCGTTATAAGCGAGGTGATAAGAGCAACGCACGCATAAACCGAAGGAGAAAGATATGGAGAGTGCAGTAAAACTGGCGAAATGGCAGCAGCAAATTGCGACTCGGGGAATTCTAGCCGCCTTCGAGGAATCCCTTGTACAGTTCCCGTAACTTGTGCCGCTCAACTATAATTAACGTAACCTAGGTCAGGTCCCTGCTCGCTCTTCGTCACCGAAGAAGCTTCACCTCGAAAGGCGCGTTTAATCCAGTTTGGTACTTGCATCCGACTGAAAAGCACTGCCTAATAAATTATTTAATTTAACGCATCCTGCCAAGGGGAAGGGGCTCGATGCAGGATGGAAGGCTTAACCGGGATTGGACGTGCGGAACCTCCCTTGGCGTGTTCCTTGGGAAATTTATGCCACTCTTAGCGAAAACGGGAACGGATCTTCCTTCCTGGCAAGGCCGGGTCCTTCGACTGGTCCAATCTTCGCGAGCGATTATCCTCGAGTCTCCTAACCTTTGTGGATTAGACCGAGTTATGGCTCAAAGATGAAGCGCGCTCCCCAGGGTGAGACAAGGAGGATGATCCACGTAGCGATGGTCCGAGAAAGTTAACCCGTCTCGGATGAGACACCAATTCGAAAGAATATGTATTTGCCGATCCCGAGTTGAGATCATCGAGTTATGGCTCGAAGATGAAGCGTACTCCCCGGGGTGAGACAAGGACGATGATCCGCGAAAGTTAACCCGTCTCGGATGAGACACCAATTCGAAAGAATATGTATTTCCCGATCCCGAGTTGTGATCATCAAGTTATGGCTCAAAGATGAAGCGCGCTCCCCAGGGTGAGACAAGGAGGATGATCCACGTAGCGATGATCCGAGAAAGTTAACCCGTCTCGGATGAGACACCAATTCGAAAGAATATGTATTTCCCGATTCCGAGTTGAGACATCGAGTTATGGCTCAAAGATGAAGCGCGCTCCCCGGGGTGAGACAAAGAGGATGATCCATGTAGCGATGGTCCAAGAAAGTTAACCCGTCTGGAATGAAACACCAATTTGAAAGAATATGTATTTCCCGATCCCGAGTTGAGATCATCGATCTCGGTTGAATCTCTGAATCCTCTATTCTCTGGACCATTTCAGAGGGGCGAAGGGGAGATATCTTTGTGTCCTAGAGAAAGAATTTTCCTTTGATTCAGTCTAGATTCGGCACAGCGGAGCTCCCAATCTCTTCCTATCCATCTCCGAATTGGTAAACATTTCAACACAACCACCAGTTTGATCTTTTTTCTTCATTTGGATACTGACAACATCCAATATTTACATTTAGAGGGCCGATAGCGCTCACGATTGGCTCTCCCCTCTCCTCAAGAATTTCGAGGACCTGGGGCCTAACTCCAGAGGAGGTCCTAGTCCATCCTGGATCGTCGAGCAGGACTCGCACAACAAATTCGTCATCCCATTATCGACTACAAGATATTCAATCGGATTTTCAACGAGTCTCATCGCATCCCGACCCCCTACCGTGTATTCGACCGCTTCTGTTCAGCGTTTAGAAACTGTAAGTCGATTACTTCTTTTCCCCCAAACGATCATCCGCGACTCATCAAACCCTATCACGATTAGAGAGATCTATAGGTGCGTGGTTTCAAGAGGAAGAAGCTTCAAGAGGCATATTATTAATTACAATTTTTTAATTGTACGTGTTTGTGCTTTGAAACTGTGGTACGCGGTAATGACTTCGCGCACCGAGGGAACAGTGAAATGCGGTTTTGGGACAACTTACAGGTGCAACCTAACTATTTCTTGACGGTCATGTTTATTGACGATGAAAGGGGCAGGTGCGGCATGCATAATAACAATAATTGCTTACAAATTTTCCAACCAGGCATTCGAAATTAATGGGACGCGTGCACGGCCATAAAGCGTGAGGTATGATGCTTGTGCCAGAACATGCTTCGTGCGTATACAGAGACCCCTAAATACGTAATTAAATTAACCACGGTTTAATTGTTAAACAACGGAGAACTTTACTGACGGCAATGCAACAGAAATGGAAAGCATTGTACCGAACGCTACAATAAACCGCCCTGCGAAACCAATTAATGCCGAAACAGGAGTGGTGCTTAAAAAAAGCTCCACCTATCCAAATCATCTCCTTTATACAAATTTGAGGAAATTAAAAAATGCCACAAATATCTAGCTTGACATAAATCACTCCTGATTTCGTGATTACCTAT